AGAATTGAACATGTTCCATAGCAACACCATAGAGATAGAAATNTCATGAAATTTAACTTGATATTTTAGGTCTCAATACATCACAGCAATCACCATCGCCTCATTCCCATACAACAGTTAGCAGAAACAGTTCTTCATCAAGAGAATATATAACTTCAAGGGAAGCGACTCCTGTTGACCCAACTGACATCATAGTCAATAAAATAGAGTATGTTGACAGTACAAGTCAAGAATCCAAAGATGTGGTAAGCATTTAATAATGGACTTCAAAAATTGTTTGAAAAATTGGCAATTGAATTGAACACAAAATCAATTTTTAAAAAAGTCCTATATAAGCCATATACCCCCATTTGGTGGTATTTCATTATTAATTTATTGCACTGTTCCGAAATTCTTAACATATTTTTATTTTGACAATGATATTGAAATACCATTTTAATTTACCATTGCCGTTTATTTCAGTTTCAAGTACAGATTAGTAAGAATCCTGGTTTAGGTTTTAGTATAACTGGTGGTATTGATTCTAATGGCAATCCATTTCAACCTCATGATAAGAAGGTAAATATACATGTATGTCACAAATGCTCATTGTTACTGATGGCTTATGTGCAAAGAATCAATGTAATGTAATGTTTGGCCATTGATTATTAGGCTACTGTTCATTTATGAAGGTGTAATATGTTATAAAGATCTTATTGTAATAAAGATCTTATTGTAATAAATTATTATTTATTAAGATTTAAAGAGATCATATTATGAAGAAGGATTTTCAGTTCTCCAATCACTTTCATATTTTATCTGAATAGAATAGTGTTAATGCAAAAAAATATATATATATAAATATTTCATATATCGAGTGTCCCAAAAAAACGTCATTAAGTTCGAATTGTAGTATCTCAGCTGTTTGTTAACTTATCTCTTTCAACAACATATTGAAGTATATCTGTAAGAATTTTGAAAGAGATCAATTTACCAACAGCTGAGATACAATCTGTCGAAACTTTGCGACGTTTCTTGAGAAACTCGATATAGTTAAGTTCAGATTCTTTTGATCATGTGCTATATAAAAAATATAACGATTTCCAAAGCATGTTATTCATGTGCCATTTATCTTTATATATGTTCAGTATCTAACAATTTTTATCATATGTTTTAGGGAATATTTATTAGTAAAGTTCAGAGTGATGGTCCAGCTAAACATTGTTTACGTAGAGGAGATAAGATATTAAAGGTAAATAATTTATTCCTTAGATAATCTGGTTTTCTGTCAGTGGAGTGATGATGACCATGTTTATGATACAACATTGCACAAGTGACATCAGTTTAAACAGCCATTGTAGTTTCCATCCAATTGCATGAAAATCAGTCATCAGATCTTAAGTGGTTTATCAACTGGTAAAGCACACTGGTACACAGCTATCACATTTAAATGAAATATGTTAATTGTGACCTAATGAATTAATGTTAATTATTTTTCAGATGAACAGTACAGATTTTACATCTATAGAACATAATCAAGCTGTTACATTGTTAAAAACAACCCATACTGTATGTCTATTGGTTGAAAGAATTCACAAAGTTAATTTAGTATAACTGTTATTATCTACTCAATCAAACATATTATAAGATTATAAATCATCGGTTTTGTTCTTTAAAAAAAAAAACCTTTAGTTCCAAAATATAACTAAGGAAGCTATATTTTACTGTGGAAAAAAATCAAATACTTGAAGTGTATTTTAAGGTAAAAAAAAAGCTGCTACAATTAGCATTATTCAATATCTTAATGACATATTTATCATGCTAGAAATCATTCTGTACATTGCTTTCAAAAGACAAAAAGAATATGTACAGAAATTGTTCTGCTGTTGATTGAATGTCTATACTGCTTATTGTTTTAAAAAAAAAGGCTGTGAAATGCTCTTGATTGAAAGACTATGAAATTATCATACTCTTGATTGAAAGACTATGAAATTATCATACTCTTGATTGAAAGACTATGAAATTATCATACTCTTGATTGAAAGACTATGAAATTATCATACTCTTGATTGAAAGACTATGAAATTATCGTACTCTTGATTGAAAGACTATGAAATTATCATACTCTTGATTGAAAGACTATGAAATTATCGTACTCTTGATTGAAAGACTATGAAATTATCATACTCTTGATTGAAAGACTATGAAATTATCGTACTCTTGATTGAAAGACTATGAAATTATCGTACTCTTGATTGAAAGACTATGAAATTATCATACTCTTGATTGAAAGACTATGAAATTATGGTACTCTTGATTGAAAGACTATGAAATTATGGTACTCTTGATTGAATGACTTTGGAATTGTCACTTTCAGGTACTGATTGAAATTTATAAAAGTTTTGAACTGTAGATTGATAATAAACTTGTCTTACTGGTGATTGAAAAGCTATGGAATTGAAATTATCATATAACTGATTTTAAGTAAATGAAATTTTCATATTACTCATTGAAAAAACTATGGAATTGTCATATTCAAGATTAAAAATCAATAAATTTGTCATACTACTGATTAAAAGTCAATGAAATTTTCATATTATTTTTATGAAAACCAATAAAATTGTCATATCTCTGCTTAGAATTAAATGAATTTGTCATACTGCTGTTTAAAAGTCTATGAAAGTGTCACTTTACTTTGTAGCAGCTTTGAAATTGTCATAAAAAGTCTTTAACAGTGCTAATTCAGGATTAAAATATTGATTAATGAAATAATAACTTTATCTCAAAGAATAAAACTGGGTCTGCTGTGTATATATTGTAAATAAATTCTATTGTTAGTCATCTGAGGACCATTTTTTCTCATCTTTTGATATTTTTGATGAAAATTTGTAATGAGATGAAATAAATATTTTTGTTTAATTGATCTTGTGTCTTATTTTTAAAACATCAACTGTTGGGAGAACGAATCTTCAATCCAGTGTGAAGAGAAGATTTTTTTTGTCATATTCATAAATTATGGTGTCAATGAAGCAAACCCTGTTATGGGTGAATTTCTTAAAGCAGCAGGTCACGGTTTCGATCAATAGGCCCTATGCTTGACAAAGTTGTCTGCTGGACCATACTTAAAGAATTTTCATTTTACTCTTCATTCATTAACTTTCCTACTACACATTTTTATACGCCCACATGAAATTATTGCCCTTGTTCTTGAAAACGCGTTCAATTTTAGCTTATAAACACTCTAGAAGGCACAATTCTTGACCGATTGTGACGAAACTTGGTGTGAGAGTTCGTAATCACCCAAGGATAAACCCTATCGAAAATCAGAAAAATGAAAATATTTAGTATGAGTTTTTGCTCTTGAAAACACGTTCAATTTTTAGTCTGTCATGGCTTAACCTTGTGCTTGTTTGTCTAAAGGCATGGCTTTGTCTAGAGTTGGGACCTTGTGCTTGCTCTCACGGAGCTTAGTAGTCCTTGCATTTAGCAAAGGCTTAACTCAAAGACGTCTGTGTAGCTGGTTTATCAAAGAAGATTGCTAATTAAAAAATGTACTTTAATCCAAAATAAAAATGTCCATTAGGTCATGTAAAAATATAAATATTCCATCTCAAAATATAAACAGTATTCCCTTATTTTATTTAGTGTATTGATTAGAGTTGAAACAGTCTGTTAAAAGCGTAAAAGGTCGAGCTACTCTTTTCTTTAAATCTTGTAAACTTCGTCTTAATCTTGATGGTTTCTTTTCTGAAATGATAAAATATGTCATATTCAGAAACAAAGTGCCCATGGGAAGTATTAGGTGAAGATTTTTGAAAAATAAAGACTTTTGACTCTCCTTATGGGATGTCGAGATGGCTAACCAAGATGTGGGCTTGGACTCAAACTCAGTTTTTGGATCTGGACCCAAGAATATATTGAAGAATGATCTCGGGGACAGTCTTGTCCACTAGCCGTGTCAGATGGAAACTTTTCAGAGTAAATATAATATTTCAGAGTATACTAACGTTTTATACTTCCATTCCCTTCTGCCATATTTGAATGGACATCCAGAACTTTGAATTCATTTTTATTGTCAATGGAATCGCCTTCAACCTTAGGTTTGTTGATGACGTATATGGAGAAATCCAGAGCAAGTTTTGGTGGTATTACATACTGTGATAAATCTAAATAGAGATTCTTTTGTCGTAATTTCCTCACCAGTTCGTCATCACATCCTACTGGAACATTCTCAGACGTTTCCGTTTTCGCAGACTGCAGTAGACGTAATGAACCATTAGTCAGTACAGACGATTTTCCATCACTAAAGCCTTTTCTTTCTTGTTCTTCATGTCGTGTTGCTAGATCAGGAGATCTTGGATCCTCATTTCTGGACGCGTCCAATTGTAGATTTTGTCTTGCAAAATCTCTCATCATTTCAGCTGGACTGCGTCTAAACATTTCTACTTCAGGAACTTCTGATTCAGTGGGAAATTTGGAAATTACCGTAAACATGACTATTGAAAGAAAAGAAACAATCGAAGATATCAGTAAAATGTTTCTTAAAATAGAAATCATACCTTCTTAGATTTAGTAATTTTCAAAATTATTGTTTAAAGAAAAGTTCCTACGACATCAAGAACATCAGACGTCCAAAGCGTTCAGAGTGTTACAATTTGCCAAGAACTTGGACGAAATTTCTAAAATAACAGGAACACAATAAAGATATGTTAAAAACTCACCTCGATTCACAAAATTCTTGAAAATTATCAGGAATATTTGATAATGTTGTCAAATTTGTGAGAGAAAGTGAAAATTCTGCCGTTTCCGTTGAAATTCAGAACAATCAGTGATGACAATCAACATGACGTCATAGGAACAATGCCTTGACGTTATTATGAAGAGTAAGGTTTTGGGCCTCTTTTTATTGAAAATAATTGGATTTATTATTAATATAGCAATAGTATCTAGCTGTGTATCAATTATGACGATATGCGTTTCGAATATGGATTCTTCGTAAGGATAATGGGTTGGAAATTAGGAGTAAATTCAAATCCGACTCAGCGCTTATGTTCCAAGTAAGCGAAATCACTGAGGATTTACACCAGCGAGAAGTCTTTCCAATGAAAGGATTCTTTAGCTATGAGGTTTACTAGAATAACATCCCGTGTTCGCGAGTATCTAGCATCTGATCATAGCACAACCCCTTTGACAATAATTTCTCCATGAAGTGGTGTTTGGATAATTTAAACCGAACCAGCCCCAGTAGGCCCTATATCTCCATGGTCATTTATTTTTCTTCAATTGGAGAGATTACCATACGATAACCATTCAAATTCTTTGATGCATCAGGATATACTAATCCAGTAATCTAAATTATAATTTGTATTGAAAAAATTTCTGACTTGACCTACGAAATATAGTAAAAATATAGTCAGAGGCCAGAGCTCTTGTAATAGTACATGGTTACTTCTCTTGATAAACAAAATTCGTTCAGAATATGTTTCGATGAGTGTTTCGGTCTGTCAGAGCAACAAATCTCAATCTTTAATTTTTCTCATTTCGCTGATGTTTAACCAGCCGATCTCCCTTGTGTGGACGCATTAGTCAAATTCCCTTGACAAATGGTTTTGTTGGTATTTTTTTTTAGGTTTGTAAACTCAGCATTCCGTTCTTTTTATTGTTATTGATAATAATCAAAGACCTGGCTATGTAAAGTATTATATTTTTGTGTCATAATCATAAAAGACCTAGAACTTGTGATCGCTCTGTCTATGACCAGAGACTTGTGATCACACTGTATAAATCCAGGAGCTTGTGATAGCTCTGTTTAAGATCAGAGACTTGTGATCGCTCTGTTTAAGGCCAAAGACTTGTTATCGCTCTGTCTAAGGTCAGGAAACTGTGATAGTTCTGCCTAAGACCTGGGACTTGTGATCGCTCTGTCTAAATCCAAAGACTTGTGATAGCTCTGTCCAGGGACTGATGATCGCTCTGTCAAAGACTATGGACTTGTGATCGCTCTGTCTAAGGCCAACGACTTTTAATCACTCTATTTAAGATCAGAGACTTGTGATCACTCTGTTTAAGACTAGAGACTTGTGATCACTCTGTTAAAGATCAGAGACTTGTGATCGCTCTGTTTAAGACCAGGGACTTGTGATCGCTCTCTTTAAGATCAGAAGAGACTTGTGATAACTATGTTTAAGATCAGAGACTTGCGATCGCTCTGTTTAAGACCAAGGACTTGTGATCACTCTGTTTAAGACCAGAGACTGGGATCACTTTGTTTAAGACCAGGGACTTGTGATCACTTTGGTAGATCTGTCTAATGCCAGGGACCTGTGATCGATCTATTCAAGGCCGGGGAATGTGATCACTCTTTTTATGGCCATTCTCATGTATGGATACACCATCAGAGTTGATAGCTTTGTCTAGAGTTGGAACCTTGTGCTTGCTGTCATGGAGCTTGGTAATCCTTGCATTTAGCAAAGGCTTAACTCAAAGACGTCTGTGTAGCTGGTTTATCAAAGAAGATTGCTAATTAAAAAATATACTTTAATCCAAAATAAAAATGTCCATTAGGTCATGTAAAAATATAAATATTCCATCTCAAAACATAAAAGGTATTCAGTCAAGTTATCAATTCCATTTTATTCAGTGTATTGATTAGAGTTGAAACAGTCTGTTAAAAGCGTAAAAGGTCGAGCTACTCTTTTCTTTAAATCTTGTAAACTTCGTCTTAATCTTTGAAATCTTGATGGTTTCTTTTCTGGAATGATAAAATATTTCATATTGTGAAACAAATTACGCATGGGAAGTATTAGGTGAAGATGTTCCGTAAATGTGGACATGATTTTAACCATGCTGGTGACACTGGTATTTATCATAGACAAAGAACCTCACATTCAGTTATCGGACCTGGACTCAAACTGAGTTTTTGGATCTGGACTCAAGAATATGTTGAAGAATGATCTCGGGGACAGTCTTGTCCACTAGCCGTGTCAGATGGAAACTTACTAAATATTTCAAAGTATACTAACGCTTTATGTTTCCATTCCCTTCTGTGATATCTAAATGGACATCCGGAACTTTCATAACGTCTTTGGATTCATCTTTAATGTCAATGGTCAGGTCAGGTCTGTTGATGACGTATTTGGAGAAATCCAGAACAGGTTTTTGCGGTATAACATACTGTGATAAATCTAAATAGAGATTCTTGTGTTGTAATTTCTTTTCCCGTTCGTCATCAGATCCGGCTGGAACATTCTCAGACGTTTCTGTTTTCGTTTTCGCAGATTGCAGAAGACGTAATGAACCATTAGTCAGTACAGACGATTTTCCATCACCAAAGCCTTTTCTTTCTTGTTCTTCATGTCGTGTTGCTGGACCAGGAGAGCTTGGTTCGTCATTTCTGGACGCGTCCAATTGTAGATTTTGTCTTGCAAAATCTCTCATCATTTCAGCTGGACTGCGTCTAAACATTCCTATTTCAGGAACTTCTGATTCAGGTGGAAATTTGGAAATTACCGTAAACATGACTATTGAAAGAAAAGAAACAATCGAAGATATCAGTAAAATGTTTCCTAAAATAGAAATCATACCTTCTTAGATTTAGTAATTTTCAAAATTATTGTTTAAAGAAAAGTTCCTACGACATCAAGAACATCAGACGTCCAAAGTGTTCAGAGTGTTACAATTTGCCAAGAACTTGGACGAAATTTCTAAAATAAAAGGAACACAATAAAGATATGTTAAAAACTCACCTCAATTCACAAAATTCTTGAAAATTATCAGGAATATTTGATAATGTTGTCAAATTTGTGAGAGAAAGTGAAAATTCTGCCGTTTCTGTTGAAATTCAGAACAATCAGTGTTGACAATCGAAATAACGTCATCAGAACAATGCCTTGACGCTCTCCTGATCTCTAAGTCTTTTTTGGCCTCTCTTGGTTGGGAATAACGAAACTTTACCATTAAAGTATACTAGGAACCGCAGTGACAATTTTATACTAGCTATAAAGATTAAAGACACCTCGAAATCAGAAAGAGTTACTTCCCTATTGTAGCCTAGATTGATGCCACTAGCCTTAATATTGTTCTTCATTGTACACTGTGTAGTGTTAACAATTATCATTTAACCAAATAAGAGCAGAAAAAAAAAGATGCGTGGATCGTGCTTGCTCTGTCTTAAGTCACGGCCTTGTACTTGCTCTATCTCTGACTAGAGTCTTGTTATAGCTCTGTTTAAGGCCGTCCGTCCGTTTGTTTGTTTGTGGACACGATAGAGAGCTGGTTTCTTGATGGATTTTGACGAAACTTGGTGTGAGTGTTTATAATCACCCAAGGATGAACCCTATTGAAAATCAGACGAATCGAAAAATATTTTCTATGAGTTATTGCCCTTGTTCTTAAATTGTTTGTGGACACGATAGAGAGCTGGTTTCTTGGTGGATTTTGACGAAACTTGGTGTGATTGTTTGTAATCACCCAAAGATGAACCCTCTTGAAAATCAGACGAATCAAAATATATACTATGAGTTATTGCCCTTGTTCTTGAATTGTTGTTTGTGGACACGATAGCGTGTGGACACGATAGAGATTTGGTTTCTTGATTTATTTTGACGAAACTTGGTGTGAGTGTTTGTAATCATCCAAGGATGAACGCTATTGAAAAACAGACGAATCGGAAAATATTTACTTTGAATTATTGCCCTTGTTCTTGAATTGTTTGTGGACACGATAGAGAGTTGGTTTCTTGATGGATTTTGACGAAACTTGGTGTGAGTGTTTGTAATCACCCAAGGATGAACCCTATCTTGTTCTTGAATTGTAAACTGTAAAGAAAACCCATGAAATATGAAAATTTCACTCTCAGAGACATGCATTTACTGATAACTTTTGTCAACCTCCCGGACAAATTAGCTGCCATAACAAATGTGGGCGTATTACGATGGTATCGCCATTTTTAGAAAATATGTTCATTCTTTAGAACACATGACCATCTTCAGAACAAACGTACCTTTTTGAAAACAAATGTTCACTCTTACATATTTTTATTTTTAGAACATATTTTCATTTTTAGAACAAATGTTCGTTTTTAGACAAATGTTCGTTTTTAGAAAAATGTTGATTTTAGAACACGTGATCGTTTTAAGAACAAACGTTCGTTTTTAGAACATGCGTTCGTTTTTAGAACATGCGTTCGTTTTTAGAACAAACATTCGTTTTTTAGAACAAATGCTCCTTTTTAGGACAAATGTTTTTGAAAACATGTTCGTTTTGAGAACAAACACATGTTCGTTTTTAGAACAAACACAAGTTCGTTTTTTTAGAACAAACACGTGTTCGTTTTTTTAGAACAAACACGTGTTCGTTTTTTAAACAAACGCATGTTCGTTTTAAAACAAACACATGTTCGTTTTTAGAACAAACACATGTTGGTTTTTAGAACAAACACATGTTCGTTTTTAGAACAAATGTTAATTTTTTTAGAACAAATGTTAATTTTTTTTAGAACAAATGTTAATTTTTTTTAGAACAAATGTTAATTTTTTTTAGAACAAATGTTAATTTTTTTAGGACACATATTTATTTTTCAGAACAAACGTTCGTTTTAAGAACAAATATTGATTTTTAGAACACATATTTGTTTTTACACATGTCCGTAGACGCGGTAGAGGCTACAGTTTTTATCCGATCTTGATGAAACTTGGTATGCATCTATATATTGATGAGATCTCGATCAAGTTCGGAATTGGTAATAATAGGATGAACAGTTTCAGAGTTATTGCCATCGACATCGTATCTAGATGAATCTAGATATTCATATATTATTGATGAGATCTTGATCAAGTTAGAAATTGGTAATATTCTGATGATAAACAGTTTCAGAGTTATTTCCCTTGTGTGTACAGTGATGAGACAGTGTTCATGTTTGAGTTTGATGATAACTTGATGAACTGTTTCAGGTTTTTGCCTTGACTTGAGATGATTTTAAGATTATTTGAAAATTCATTATTAAGCCACTAAAGATTTTGTTATCATGTCTGACAGCTGGTAGTGGGCGTATGTTACCTTGCCTGGCAAGCTATCTCATATTTTCCAAAATACTAGTTAATAGTGGTAAATCATTTATTATAATAAACACCTCGATATATACCTTCTACACATTTTATATTGTCTAAAATACTAGTTGATGATTATAGTGGTAAATCATATAGTATAATAAACACCTCGATATATACCTACTACACATTTTATATTGTATAAAACACTAGTTGATGATTATAGTGGTAAATCATATAGTATAATAAACACCTCGATATATACTTACTACACATTTTATATTGTATAAAACACTAGTTGATGATTAAAGTGGTAAATCATTTATTATAATAAATACCTCGATATATACCTACTACACATTTTATATTGTCTAAAACACTAGTTGATGATTATAGTGTTATTATAATAAATACCTCGATATATACCTACTACACATTTTATATTGTATAAAACACTAGTTGATGATTATAGTGGTAAATCATATAGTATAATAAACACCTCGATATATACTTACTACACATTTTATATTGTATAAAACACTAGTTGATGATTAAAGTAGTAAATCATTTATTATAATAAACACCTCGATATATACTTACTACACATTTTATATTGTCTAAAATACTAGTTGATGATTATAGTAGTAAATCATATAGTATAATAAACATCTCGATATATACCTACTACACATTTTATATTGTCTAAAATACTAGTTGATGATTATAGTGGTAAATCATAGTATAATAAACATATCTATATATACCTACTACACATTTTATATTGTCTAAAACACTAGTTGATGATTATAGTGGTAAATCATATAGTATAATAAACACCTCGATATATACTTACTACACATTTTATATTGTATAAAACACTAGTTGATGATTATAGTGGTAAATCATTTATTATAATAAACACCTCGATATATACTTACTACACATTTTATATTGTATAAAACACTAGTTGATGATTATAGTGGTAAATCATATAGTATAATAAACACCTCGATATATACCTACTACACATTTTATATTGTCTAAAATACTAGTTGATGATTATAGTGGTAAATCATATAGTATAATAAACACCTCGATATATACCTACTACACATTTTATATTGTATAAAACACTAGTTGATGATTATAGTGGTAAATCATATAGTATAATAAACACCTCGATATATACCTACTACACATTTTATATTGTCTAAAACACTAGTTGATGATTAAAGTGGTAAATCATAGTATAGTAAACATATTGATATATACCTACTACACATTTTATATTGTATAAAATACTAGTTGATGATTAAAGTGGTAAATCATTTAGTATAATAAACACCTCGATATATACTTACTACACATTTTATATTGTCTAAAACACTAGTTGATGATTATAGTGGTAAATCATATAGTATAATAAACACCTCGATATATACCTACTACACATTTTATATTGTATAAAATACTAGTTGATGATTATAGTGGTAAATCATTTATTATAATAAATACCTCGATATATACCTACTACACATTTTATATTGTATAAAACACTAGTTGATGATTATAGTGGTAAATCATTTATTATAATAAACACCTCGATATATACCTACTACACATTTTATATTGTCTAAAATACTAGTTGATGATTAAACACCTCGATATATACCTACTACACATTTTATATTGTCTAAAATACTAGTTGATGATTATAGTGGTAAATCATATAGTATAATAAACACCTCGATATATACCTACTACACATTTTA